GTTCACGCGCACTGTGAGACCTCATAGTAATGTTTGTGAATACGGGCGTTAGTTATTTAGTTAAACTTAAGGAAGTACTTGACTACGAGTAATATGCCGGTTCAAATTAAAGTGAAAAATATGTTAGGATGTTGTTATAATAGGTAAGAAGATCCTGTTCTTTGATTTACTTTTCTTACGTAAAGAATCCACGTGTAGAATATTATATCCTGTCTTAATTAAGACAAAGCTATCTTATAGGTAATCTCAGTAGTTAAAAACCTGGAAAACTTCTCAAAATGAAAAACTTGCTCGCGGATTTGACGTAGTTTATGGAAAAACCAATTGTCTTTAAGTTCAAAACATGCTCTCATCATGCAAACAAAGAATACAAAATGCATGAAATATAAAAATTCTTACGCAATTTACCATTGTCTCAAATTATTTTATTTTCTAAGTACACCTAGGTACTTCTACTTAGGTACTAATAGGTATGTTACTTTTCAACCAGGTAGAGTATGAAAGCTTTTCCAACGCAATAGTCGAGAAAAAATCCTATTGTTTTTCTTGTTTTTACAAGTTTTTTTTTACATTTTTTAATGGTGCAGGTGAAAACGTTTGCAGGCTCGCTGCTAGATCTTAACCAGCACATCAATCACAGTATCCACTTCAAAATAACCCTAAAAGCCTACGTTTGTAATGAATGGCTTTACCAACGTAAATACCTTATCGTAAATACAATTGAATGTGCAGCCAGCATGTGCCACCAGAGGTCGTGGGACGACAGACAATGTAGATGGGTATCACTTGCTGCTCACGATGCTTTGATGAGGAAGCTGGGGGCTTCCGAAAATTGGTAATTAGCAATTATTGTGAGTGATGACGTAGTGCAATAACAGAAGTACTGCCAGATAAAGGTTTTAAAATGAATGTTAGAAACGAGCCAGAGTATAAAAGTTATTTTAAGCTTATAATGTAATTTTATTTCTTGTAATTCCTTTTATGTGTAAAAAGCAATAAACGTTTTTTTATTTTTTTATTTATTTATTTATTTATTTTTGTTCTTGAAGAGATTAGAATGAGGTCATGGAGTTGGCCGCATGTATACAATTTAGGCATACCTTTCAGGTGAAAGATAAATATTTTTTGATGTGCAGGCTATTTTCAGTAAATTAAAGTCTTGCTTTTGAGTTATATGTTAATTTCTATTAAATCCTCTGTGCTAATTTAAATAGCCTTATACCCCTTTTGTACAATTTCCTGGAATTTTATCAAAGTTGAGGTAATTTGTGTGTAGCTGCCGGCTGTATGTACTTACGTACGTAAGTAGGTACTTACTTAGTATTTAAGTAGAAGAGTTACTAAAATCAACAAACAACTCATCGTCATGTCAACGTAGACACTAAATTATCGAATGAACAATCGTATGTTTTGTCCGCTGAAATTCATAAAAGATTTTTTGGTAAAAGATTTCATGTAAAAATAGTCTGAAACGGTTATAAATGGACTCTATAAGTAAAGCCAGTTTACCAAAGGGCAAAGGGCATTCAACGTCATATCCTTTTCTTATTGTTCAGATAGAAAAAAACAGCAAAATGCTGGGTGAATATCTAAAAAAGGGGCAAATCTAACCAGCTAAACAATGAACTTAGTTTAGCATGCAAATGATATCAGATAATGGTTAATCACTAGATGACTGTATCAGGAAACAAAAACGTCGTGGGAGACGAATCATAATGAATAATTATTAAAATTTGCTTAAGATTGTGACATTTTGATACTATGTGACCTTAGGTAAGTATCAAACTTATTCGGGTGGGAATTCCGAGGTATTTACCTAGTAAAGTTCTTACCTACTTATAGGTAGGTATTACCTAGATAGGTCAAAAGAAGTTTGTTTGATTGAGCATTAGGTGGTATGAAGTACCGCCTATTGACTTCATATTTTGTTTTATCTATATTTTTTTTTATCTATTTAGCAAAGTATGAGAGAGTTTACTTGTTTACTTTCTTGATTCAACGGTTGAAGGTTTGATTCCCAAGATGACCACAATGTAATTAACTAGGTGTATATTTTTCTCTCCTTTCATTTCAAAACAAATATTTTTGAAGCAGTTGATGACTGTCTGGCTGTTACGTACTTAGAGGACTACAAAGTTAGGTCCCATAGGTCCTATAGAAATCCTGATGAGAGCAGAATAAATAAATAAATTACGTTTATTACGAATTTAATGTGATAAAAACGATATTTTTTTTTGTATTTTCAGTTTTTTTCGTTCGCATCACCTTAAAATTAGTATCAATTAGCTTTGTTTGGTGTGAAACATATATTATTTTCCTACAGATAAAGAAAGAAGAGTGATTTTCTTTTATAATATATTTCTCCGCTTTCATATTAGTTATATTATGTTCTATCTATGAAAACGTTTGTATTGTGTTTTATTGTAGTCGTTGTGGGCAGAGCTTTTTTACTTGTTGAAGAATGTGCATGCAAAAAAATACCAGGCGTTTTAAAATCTGTCTCTATGTAGTTTTGTTTAGTTATATGTATTTTATATCGAGTGGTGATAAAAGGGTATTTCTCATCGCCACGGTTCTCATCGTCACCTTCGTGGCAAATTTTATTTCTAACTTATTTCAACTTTTTGTAAACAAAAATTGTAGCTNCGAACCAAAGTCGCTGACATAGCCCGACGGATTAGCAAGCTGAAGTGGCAATGGGCAGGGCACATAGTACGCAGAACTGACGGCCGATGGGGCAGAAAGGTTCTGGAATGGAGGCCGTGTACCGGAAAACGCAGCGTGGGACGTCCACCTACAAGGTGGACCGACGACATCGTAAAGGTAGCAGGGAAGCGCTGGACGCAGACCGCTGCCAATCGATCAACATGGAAAGCATTGGGGGAGGCCTATGTTCAGCAGTGGACGTCCTATGGCTGAAATGATGATGATGATGAAAGAAAGAAGAGTGATTTTCTTTTATAATATATTTCTCCGCTTATTCATATTAGTTATATATTATCTGTGGTTATATTATGTTCTATCTATGAAAACGTTTGTATTGTGTTTTATTGTAGTCGTTGTAGGCAGAGCTTTTTTACTTGTTGAAGAATGTGCATGCAAAAAATTACCAGGCGTTTTAAAATCTGTCTCTATGTAGTTTTGTTTAGTTATATGTATTTTATATCGAGTGGCGATGAAAATACGACCTACTTATATTGATCTATTTTACCTTCCATAATTTTAAACATAGATACAAAGCGCAGACTGTTTTTTAAATTAAAACTAATGTACTCTTAGACTCATAGAGTCACTCATAAAGGGGATGACAAAAATATTTCAGTTTATGTTCTATTCTTTGCAATACAGATTTTAAATGAAATAAGTCCTTAATAGTCAATATTTTCATTTAAATTAGTACCTATGTGGTTTAATTGTGGTCACTCTTGCTCTATTTTCACCAAATACAGATTGAAATGAATATCATTTTGAAGACTAGATGAAATAAAACAATGAAGTTAAAGTATATACAGTAATTTATTAGAGACAACTTATAGCTAAGTTACAATTAATTAATCTATCAGTTCGTTAATTTTTCATCTAATTTATAAAATACACAAAATACCGGGGTCAATTCTAGCCAAAATATTTCACCTTTTACCAAATATTTAAAGACTAAAAATACATCTTTATGGAAGCGATTCTGAGATTCAATCTATTACGAATTTAGATAGAGGCTAGAGTCTTAAAGTCTAGAGCTAGAGGCTCTAGTGAAAGTGACTCTAAAATCCATGAAAACTTAATTTGTAAAAAGNTATTTTATCATCTGATTTCAAAGTTATTGTTCTAACTTATACCGTTTATGAACTATTATTGTGTGACCATCAAATTTGTGTGTAAATGAGAAGTACCCAAAAATACGACCTACTTATATTGATCTATTTTACCTTCCATAATTTTAAACATAGATACAAAGCGCAGACTGTTTTTTAAATTAAAACTAATGTACTCGTAGAGACTCATAGAGTCACTCATAAAGGGGATTACAAAAATATTTCAGTTTATGTTCTATTCTTTTCAATACAGATTTTAAATGAAATAAGTCCTTAATAGTCAATATTTTCATTTAAATTAGGTACCTATGTGGTTTTTGTGGTCACTCTTGCTCTATTTTCACCAAATACAGATTGAAATGAATATCATTTTGGAGACTGGATGAAATAAAACAATAAAGTTAAAGTATATACAGTAATTTATTAGAGACAACTTATAGCTAAGTTACAATTAATTAATCTATCAGTTCGTTAATTTTTCCTCTAATTTATAAAATACACAAAATACCGGGGTCAATTCTAGCCAAAATATTTCACCTTTTACCGAATATTTAAAGAATAAAAAACATCTTTATAGAAGCGATTCTGAGATTCAATCTGCTACGAATTTAGATAGAGGCTAGAGTCAAAGCTAAAGACTCTAGTAAAAGTGACTCTAATATCCATGAAAACTTTACTTTGAAAAAAGGTTTGAAAAAGCGTTGAGGTGAGAAAATGGTTTAAGGTGAAAAGCGTTTGAAATCTGTCTCTATGTAGTTTTCTTTAGTTATATGTATTTTATATTGAGTGGCGATAACAATACAATAGTACTTATATTGATCTACTTTACCTTTCATTATTTCAATAGAGATACAGAGCACAAGCTTTTTTTTTAAATTAAAACTAATGTAGAGCCGTAGAGTCATTAAAGGTATGAAAATGATTACTTCAGTCCGTGTGCTATTGTTTTCAATATAGATTAGTCCTCATTTAAATTATGTGTTTTTTTTATCTCTTTTTTCACTAAATACGAATTGAAATGTTAAATCATCATTTTAGGGACTAGATGAAATAAAACAATAAAGTTAAAGTATATACAGTAATTTATTAGAGACAACTTATAGCTAAGTTACAATTAATTAATCTATCAGTTCGTTAATTTTTCCTCTAATTTATAAAATACACAAATACCGGGGTCAATTCTAGCCAAAATATTTTCACCTTTTACCAAATATTTAAAGAATAAAAAACATCTTTATAGAAGCGATTCCAAGATTCAATCTGCTACGAATTTAGATAGAGGCTAGAGTCAAAGCCTAGAGCTCTAGCTCTAGTGAAAGTGACTCTAAAATCCATGAAAACTTTACTTTGAAAAAAGGTCTTAAAATACATAAACTAAACGTTATTGAGCATCACAATTTAGTAAATTAATATCCTTCTATATACATACAACTTACAATTAGGTCGCTTATATTAGTAGGTGTTTTCTCTGCTCGTTTGGATAGAGAGATATACGAACAGAGAGCTATTGTATGGTAACTGGGCTTTTTAAAATGAAGGTAGCCTTAATAAGAAATAAATCGAGCAAAAAACTTAGGTACTTTAAAAGAGTTTAATTTTTTAAACTTATGAAAATCACACCTTTACTGCAGTGGTATAATAAGTCGTGTATACTAGTGCATTTGATGTCACCTAGTAAAATTAAGTAGGTATCCCTCGCTAGCTGGATAGAAAGATAATTATAAGTATCATTTATAGTTAGTACTTTACTTACGCCTGTAGTCACAAACGATGCTTGCTTAAGTGAAGCAGCAAATCGAACGCACAGCGTTGAATAGAGCTCTGTGATTGGTTCGCGTGTCACCCTGTGCGTCCACGTGCACTGTGAGACCTCATAGTAATGGTGAATACGGGCGTTAAAATGACAATCATTGGGTATCCATGACTTTTATCACTGGATCCACTCATTTTATGTTCACACTGATAGACGACTCTACCTTCAGTTTGAAAAATAGAAATAACAGACTTAGGTGACGAAATTTCATTCACTCGAAATTGATGATTGATATACTCGTGAAAGTGATTCTTCCCTAATTATGATGAATCAGTTGATAATACATACACGATGCGTTGTAAAGGATAACATTATTAAAGCAATTTTCAAAGAAATGATCAAACATCATCACAAAAAATACTTAAAAAAAAATTCAAATTTAAAAAAGACAATTACAAACGTGAGAACCTTCTCCTTTTTGAAGTCGGTTAAAAATTAATCCTCTTATTCTGAAACTTTTCTGACTTTAAGTTTGAAAAGTGTATTCAATGCCAACTTCATTAACGAAGAAGTGAGCTTTACTTTTGTCAAACCCTAGTTATTTACAAATTCCTTCATTTATAATAAATACCGGTGCTTTAAAGTCTAGTACAACCTGGGCAAGTTAACTGCGCACCTGGCATCCGTGACGTCACTTCGACACTGGTACGTAACGAGGCGAACGCGCGAAGTTGTGCGGGTGAGTTCGAGGGAGAGGTTATCTCAACCGGGATGTTGTATATTTGCCATTATTTTGTCGCCATGACAACGCATCGTGCGGGTAGTCGTGTGTATGCGGGTAGTCGATCAAAGCCCGGCATTGCCGCAGTACTCGCCGATGCGGTCCGAGATGCACTCGAAGATGTCGAATGACACGTCACAGTTGCGCCCGTTGTCTGGGGAAAAAAAGAAAAAAAGATAGGTAAATTACTAAGCCATACTACTTTTTAGTTATCAGCTACACGTAAACATTCCAATTTCAGAGTGCAATAAAAATAAATGTTATTTTTTGGCATTCATCATAATTATCATTATTTTCAGTCACAGGACGTCCAATGTTGAACATAGGCCGCCTTCCCAATGAGTTCCATATTGCCCGGATGGTAGCGGCCTGTATCTACTGGGTACCACCAGCGCCTTCCTCTATTATGTTTTGCTTTAAGCTTTTTTCCTTTACGCACTTGAAAGCTTGTATTCTAACGCCCGTACTCACAAACGATGCTTAAGTGAAGCAGCAAATCGAACGTACAGCGTTGAATAGAGCATAGTGATTGGTTCGTGTGTCACCCTGTGCGTGAGACCTCATAGTAATGTTTGTGAATACGGGCGTAAATGTATAGAAAAGTTACAGTAATTTAAATTACCTACCTACATTAAATAAATAAACTATTTTACTCATAAACTAGCTTTCCGCCCGCGGCTTCGCCCGCGTGGAATTTCGTTTGTTAAATTTTCCTGAATTATCTTTGCTATAAACCTCACGGAGCCCGAGATCTTTCCAACGAATGCAAAACCGTGGAAATCGGTTCGTGCGTTCTGGAGTTATAGCGTCAGGGAGGAAAACCCGACTTATTTTTATATAGTAGATTGTTCAGTCTAATTATGTTTTCTGACAAAATATGTTGTGCTTTAGAGGAGTCTCTTTTGGATACGGGTGTAAATAATCAAAAACGAAAAGTCCGATTAACTACATAAGTAAAGTTTTCGATTTGAACTTACCCATAGGCACGGTTCGTGAGAACTTGTCGTGGTACTTCATGAGGCACTCCCGCGAGGCCTCCAACACGGCCATGAAGTAACCTCTCTCGTTCACGCCGTCAGAGTAGAGCCCCACCAGCCCCTCGAGGGTCGGGAAGCCGTAGCCGTCCACCTGGGTATCAATCATCATCATCATCATCATCATCATCATCATCATCATCATCATCATCATCATAACGTCTCCACCACAGGAGGACGACCGTCTCTTGTTTACCAGACCCAAATGAAGGATATGGTCTACACTTCACGTCAAACAGTCTGGACAGCCTGGGACTCGGCAGTAGTGGGCAGTGCTCAGATCATAGAAAGAGAAGGGCAGTGCAAGCTAAATTTTCCATTTGCCCCAGGTAAATAAATTAGAGAAGGTGTGTGGTCCTGCAATGGGAGCTTAATGATGAAAGTTCATTATGACGTCAATAATTTTACCAAAATAACTTCTGTAAAAACACTTTACTTTAACCTAAATTATTATGTNTCACATCATTTTACCGAAGTCAGCCCTATAGCTTCGGCGCAGTGCCGATCACTGACGTTTGTCAACAAAATGGTGCTTGACTCTTGAGACAGGCTAAATTACACCATATTGTTAATGACATTAAGCATACATTTTTTTAAATACCTTCGCGAAGTAAAACTTCTGTACGTAGTACCAGGCCTGTCCATCTACGAGAGTTTACATCGAAAACAAAACACGCACGATGGCCCACCTACAGGATACTATTCGACAAGGCCTCACATACGAGCGAACATTGACTCACGCACGCGTATTCTTGTGTATGATGGAAGAAAATAAAGAAAATGGTGTACTAAATAATGTGCAGTATTTAACTGCCTAAATAATAATAAAAACACAGAATGTACTTTTTTAAGTTGCCTCAAGACACTGAGAGGTAAATAAGTAGTTAATATTATTCATGATAATTCATGCTAAATCATGTATTTCCTCCGCCATTTTCCCGCAGTTTGGCACCTCACGTCACATCATTTTACCGAAGTCAGCCCTATAGCTTCGGCGCAGTGCCGATCACTGACGTATGTCAACAAAATGGTGCTTGACTCTTGAGACAGGTTAAATTACACCATATTGTTAATGACATTGAGCATATATTTTTTTAAATACCTTCGCGAAGTAAAACTTCTGTACGTAGTACTTATTATTATTCTGTGGTAGTACTTATTATTATTCTGTGGTTCTAGCGCTATTGCACTGACTCCTAATTATTTCAGATAATTGTACACGTTTTTCCATTTTACTTTTCTGACTATTAAAGATACAAACAACTTGCACAGTACCAAGTACTTACTTGGTATTATTGGAATCTTGATGCTTCATCTAAATAACTAAAGCATTCGTATCACGCATTGATCCGAGGCTGGCAGCCAGGAGCAATACAATACATACCTGAAGTATTTACTCAATTTACAATCATATTACACAACTGTAGTTGTTATAATCGTAAGTCTTCGTAAACAAGTAAAACAGCCTATTCCAAACTAGAGTCTCATGCCCGCTTTCACCATCAATCCCTAATTTTTAAGTGACCCCTATAGTAACACATAACAGGAATTTGTTTTCAAAGGGGTCAGGGAAATTAGGTATTGATGGTGAAAACGTCGAGCATCAGTCGATTAAATTACGATATATTTTTATTTTGATTTTTTCAAACTTCCCAAGTATAATTTGCTCTACCGTCATTTCGCGACAACTATGTCGAAAGAAACTCAGTTACCATTGTATCAGCCTTTTATTTATTTTAAGAAATAGGTAGGTAGGAAGTTCAACTTGCAAAAAATCTACTACCTATTTGAGATCAAACCTATTTTGCCTAGATAGGCAGGTGGAGACCTTAAATTACTCAACTATGCTCATTCAATTAGTGGAGTAAAGTGAAATGTACTGGGTACAGCAGCACACTTTTTATAGCAATTTTTTTTTGTATCTAGAGGACCACTGCTAAAAATAATTGTTTCTTTTTGGATGGATCTGCATTCCCATAAAAAATAACAAAGCAGACGACGGAGACCTTGGACTGGTGCACTATTAAATTACAATTCGCTTGTACTAATAATAAAGCAAGTTATAATACAACATACAACGTGTTCGCCCGCTTTTATGGCCGTTATATTTCTGTTGAAGGGATTTTTTTCGTAAGTAATAAATAGGAGTGGGCATTACTTTTTTTTCGTTTTTCAATTTACGACATAACCCACAAGTTTTATCGTTAACAAATTGGAGCAATCAGCTCGTGACAGAACCATAAAGCATTAAAACTCGATTTAAAATGGATTTTTGTGGTTATTTTTTCATTGGGACACAGGAGGAGCGACCTCGACTACCTTTATGGGAATATTACCAGCATTTATAATAAACGTCAGTTTGATTAATAAATACACATCGAAAGGTTTCTTTACGTCCAATAAATTAAAGGTGATTTCGAATAACAAAAAATGTTTTAGTGACTCAAGCGGCGAATTCGATATTTATTTTAAAACTAAAATACGATATATTATTTCAAGGATTCAATAACCTACAGGATTAAGTTTAACTCAGTTGAGAGATCTAATTTCTTTTTAGCGGTCAATCGTAATATTCGTTCGTTCGTTCGTTTCAGCCAAAGACGTCCACTGCTGGACAAAGGCCTCCCCCGAGGTTTTCCACAATGAACGGTCCTGCGCTGCCCGCATCCAGGCTTTTCCCGCGACCTTTACCAGATCGTCATTGTTGTGAAATTTTACTAGTCATACGATACCTATTACATATTACGTTTTAAGTGAACTTTTCAAAAGTTTTTTTTAATTTACATAAGATTGTTATCTCCAATGGCAAGGTGAAAACCAATCTGTGCAGTATGCGCTTACGTCGATGGCGCAGATAAACCCGCGGTAAAAGTACTTACCGCTTTCACTTTTCGGTAAACGCATTGTAGGAGGCACTGGAACAAAAGAATTTGATATGTTAATGGAATCAACACTTATTTTACTATTGCATAACCTGTAGTGTTACTGGTAAAGGTAGAGTTCAATTTTAGTAAAAAGTTTTAACACTTGTTACCTTACTAATAAGTTGTGACTACTCAGTTCTTAACGCAGTTCGTTATTTATTTTAATTGATTAGGTATTATCTGAGTATCGAACTCAAAACGTCCGAAACAAGAGTCTAACTCTCTAGTCATAAAGGATTAATTTATCATAAAAAAACATCTTGAAAGTGATGGGATATGGGACTAATAATCCCTTAAGTTAAAGTTATGCTAATTATTCTTTTGATAATTATGATTTAAGAAAATTTCCGATCACGACTTATTTCATGACAGGCGCAAGACTTTTGTAATAATTAATACCTAGAATTCATTGGCTAGCTATGCATATACCTACTTAGAGTAGGCGCACACCGTTGATTTTTAGTTGGCCGATAGTTGTGCCCGATTTTAAATTGTATGAAGAATCGGCCAAATCGAATCGGCGTTAGTGTGCGCACTTCCATACATGCCCATACTGATCAACTGCCCGACTAAACTATCGGCCGACGAAAAATCAACGGTGTGCGGCTACTCTTACAATAAAATCAAAATCAAAAACATTTATTCAGTTTAGACCACAAGTGGCACTTATGAACGTCAAAATGTAAATAATAAAAAAGAAAAGGTATTTACATGTCTCCTTATCTTTTGGGCCCTACCAGCGCTTCGATAAAATAAATGTTGTTTATTGGTTAATGTATTAATTTGTTTATTTCTCCATAGTATGATTTCACTACATGCTAGTAATAAGTTAACTATATTTCAAAGATATTATTATCAGTTGGACAATGAATAGTCCATACAAAAATTTAAGAACTAGGTCTAGCTCACCCCAGCGATCCGTTTCTCGTCGTGCGTGAATGGAACGTCTCTCTTGTTCCTGCTACGCTGAGCAGGCATCGTGTGCTCCTCCTTGATCACGTCCAGGGCCTCTGGAATTGCGTAATATATACTTTAAGTACAGTCCAATAAGAGTTAAACATTCACGCTCCATCTCAATAAGAGGTCAAGCAATTAATTATCCCTGGTAATTTTCAGAGAATGCCATCTGCTTAGTCCCATATTAATTATTATAATATCATAAACAATGTTATTTAACAGCATTGTGTGTTCCGGCTGTTACAGGTAAGTAAGTTCCTCTAATCTTTTTCTTAAAGGTTTTAAACCTTTGCTTGTCACCTGTCATCCGCTTTGCAATGGAGGGAAGTCGAACCTTAATTTCGAACTCCTCCTATGTTCTTCTGATTAATTTCGTTGCGGGTCCAATGACAGTTTAACTTTCCCCCGGGACAAACTTGACCTTCATTGGTTGGGTTTTTGTGGCGGTCAAGCTGTAGATCCTGGCTACACAGGAGTTGCAGTGGTGGGAACGAGAGGTGGGAATAGTCCCGTTGCTAAATTACACCATATTGTTAATGACATTGAGCATACATTTTTTTAAATACCTTCGCGAAGTAAAACTTCTGTACGTAGTACCAGGCCTGTTCATCTACGAGAGTTTACATCGAAAACAAAACACGCACGATGGCCCACCTACAGGATACTATTCGACAAGGCCTCACATACGAGCGAACATTGACTCACGCACGCGTATTCTTGTGTATGATGGAAGAAAATAAAGAAAATGGTGTACTAAATAATGTGCAGTATTTAACTGCCTAAATAATAATAAAAACACAGAATGTACTTTTTTAAGTTGCCTCAAGACACTGAGAGGTAAATAAGTAGTTAATATTATTCATGATAATTCATGCTAAATCATGTATTTCCTCCGCCATTTTCCCGCAGTTTGGCACCTCACGTCACATCATTTTACCGAAGTCAGCCCTATAGCTTCGGCGCAGTGCCGATCACTGACGTATGTCAACAAAATGGTGCTTGACTCTTGAGACAGGTTAAATTACACCATATTGTTAATGACATTGAGCATATATTTTTTTAAATACCTTCGCGAAGTAAAACTTCTGTACGTAGTACTTATTATTATTCTGTGGTAGTACTTATTATTATTCTGTGGTTCTAGCGCTATTGCACTGACTCCTAATTATTTCAGATAATTGTACACGTTTTTCCATTTTACTTTTCTGACTATTAAAGATACAAACAACTTGCACAGTACCAAGTACTTACTTGGTATTATTGGAATCTTGATGCTTCATCTAAATAACTAAAGCATTCGTATCACGCATTGATCCGAGGCTGGCAGCCAGGAGCAATACAATACATACCTGAAGTATTTACTCAATTTACAATCATATTACACAACTGTAGTTGTTATAATCGTAAGTCTTCGTAAACAAGTAAAACAGCCTATTCCAAACTAGAGTCTCATGCCCGCTTTCACCATCAATCCCTAATTTTTAAGTGACCCCTATAGTAACACATAACAGGAATTTGTTTTCAAAGGGGTCAGGGAAATTAGGTATTGATGGTGAAAACGTCGAGCATCAGTCGATTAAATTACGATATATTTTTATTTTGATTTTTTCAAACTTCCCAAGTATAATTTGCTCTACCGTCATTTCGCGACAACTATGTCGAAAGAAACTCAGTTACCATTGTATCAGCCTTTTATTTATTTTAAGAAATAGGTAGGTAGGAAGTTCAACTTGCAAAAAATCTACTACCTATTTGAGATCAAACCTATTTTGCCTAGATAGGCAGGTGGAGACCTTAAATTACTCAACTATGCTCATTCAATTAGTGGAGTAAAGTGAAATGTACTGGGTACAGCAGCACACTTTTTATAGCAATTTTTTTTTGTATCTAGAGGACCACTGCTAAAAATAATTGTTTCTTTTTGGATGGATCTGCATTCCCATAAAAAATAACAAAGCAGACGACGGAGACCTTGGACTGGTGCACTATTAAATTACAATTCGCTTGTACTAATAATAAAGCAAGTTATAATACAACATACAACGTGTTCGCCCGCTTTTATGGCCGTTATATTTCTGTTGAAGGGATTTTTTTCGTAAGTAATAAATAGGAGTGGGCATTACTTTTTTTTCGTTTTTCAATTTACGACATAACCCACAAGTTTTATCGTTAACAAATTGGAGCAATCAGCTCGTGACAGAACCATAAAGCATTAAAACTCGATTTAAAATGGATTTTTGTGGTTATTTTTTCATTGGGACACAGGAGGAGCGACCTCGACTACCTTTATGGGAATATTACCAGCATTTATAATAAACGTCAGTTTGATTAATAAATACACATCGAAAGGTTTCTTTACGTCCAATAAATTAAAGGTGATTTCGAATAACAAAAAATGTTTTAGTGACTCAAGCGGCGAATTCGATATTTATTTTAAAACTAAAATACGATATATTATTTCAAGGATTCAATAACCTACAGGATTAAGTTTAACTCAGTTGAGAGATCTAATTTCTTTTTAGCGGTCAATCGTAATATTCGTTCGTTCGTTCGTTTCAGCCAAAGACGTCCACTGCTGGACAAAGGCCTCCCCCGAGGTTTTCCACAATGAACGGTCCTGCGCTGCCCGCATCCAGGCTTTTCCCGCGACCTTTACCAGATCGTCATTGTTGTGAAATTTTACTAGTCATACGATACCTATTACATATTACGTTTTAAGTGAACTTTTCAAAAGTTTTTTTTAATTTACATAAGATTGTTATCTCCAATGGCAAGGTGAAAACCAATCTGTGCAGTATGCGCTTACGTCGATGGCGCAGATAAACCCGCGGTAAAAGTACTTACCGCTTTCACTTTTCGGTAAACGCATTGTAGGAGGCACTGGAACAAAAGAATTTGATATGTTAATGGAATCAACACTTATTTTACTATTGCATAACCTGTAGTGTTACTGGTAAAGGTAGAGTTCAATTTTAGTAAAAAGTTTTAACACTTGTTACCTTACTAATAAGTTGTGACTACTCAGTTCTTAACGCAGTTCGTTATTTATTTTAATTGATTAGGTATTATCTGAGTATCGAACTCAAAACGTCCGAAACAAGAGTCTAACTCTCTAGTCATAAAGGATTAATTTATCATAAAAAAACATCTTGAAAGTGATGGGATATGGGACTAATAATCCCTTAAGTTAAAGTTATGCTAATTATTCTTTTGATAATTATGATTTAAGAAAATTTCCGATCACGACTTATTTCATGACAGGCGCAAGACTTTTGTAATAATTAATACCTAGAATTCATTGGCTAGCTATGCATATACCTACTTAGAGTAGGCGCACACCGTTGATTTTTAGTTGGCCGATAGTTGTGCCCGATTTTAAATTGTATGAAGAATCGGCCAAATCGAATCGGCGTTAGTGTGCGCACTTCCATACATGCCCATACTGATCAACTGCCCGACTAAACTATCGGCCGACGAAAAATCAACGGTGTGCGGCTACTCTTACAATAAAATCAAAATCAAAAACATTTATTCAGTTTAGACCACAAGTGGCACTTATGAACGTCAAAATGTAAATAATAAAAAAGAAAAGGTATTTACATGTCTCCTTATCTTTTGGGCCCTACCAGCGCTTCGATAAAATAAATGTTGTTTATTGGTTAATGTATTAATTTGTTTATTTCTCCATAGTATGATTTCACTACATGCTAGTAATAAGTTAACTATATTTCAAAGATATTATTATCAGTTGGACAATGAATAGTCCATACAAAAATTTAAGAACTAGGTCTAGCTCACCCCAGCGATCCGTTTCTCGTCGTGCGTGAATGGAACGTCTCTCTTGTTCCTGCTACGCTGAGCAGGCATCGTGTGCTCCTCCTTGATCACGTCCAGGGCCTCTGGAATTGCGTAATATATACTTTAAGTACAGTCCAATAAGAGTTAAACATTCACGCTCCATCTCAATAAGAGGTCAAGCAATTAATTATCCCTGGTAATTTTCAGAGAATGCCATCTGCTTAGTCCCATATTAATTATTATAATATCATAAACAATGTTATTTAACAGCATTGTGTGTTCCGGCTGTTACAGGTAAGTAAGTTCCTATAATCTTTTTCTTAAAGGTTTTAAACCTTTGTTTGTCACCTGTCATCCGCTTTGCAATGGAGGGAAGTCGAACCTTAATTTCGAACTCCTCCTATGTTCTTCTGATTAATTTCGTTGCGGGTCCAATGACAGTTTAACTTTCCCCCGGGACAAACTTGACCTTCATTGGTTGGGTTTTTGTGGCGGTCAAGCTGTAGATCCTGGCTACACAGGAGTTGCAGTGGTGGGAACGAGAGGTGGGAATAGTCCCGTTAAGTAAGTTCCTCTGTGGTTAAGGATTCTGGGTGAAGCTCGCTTCCACCTTCGGTCTGATCATCACTTTCTATCAGGCTAAGGGTTTTGCCAGTTGTTTAGAAGGACAACCAACTAGTCAGATCTTGCACATACTTACTATGGGTATCAGACTACTTTTTTTTTTTTAAAACAAAACCCATAAATAGGTACAAATATTACGTATGTTTGCATTGTGCGGAGATCGCACCCGTGACCCCGTGAACTCGGTCCGGTATGTATGTTAATAAACTACTAAGCCTGGCGGTCGTTAGATTGTAAAGAATTCTCGATATTAAATAAATAATAGAGTTTATCTAAGTATAGATAAACTTTATTATACTATTATAATCTCTACAGATTTATTATAAGTATATAATAAATCTGTAGAGAGGTCAATTCTGTACATGAAATATATTTTCAAATTAACTATTAGGGGGTGATTAGTGATCGATACTGATGCCAAAAATGCAATCAGTAAAATTTTTGTCTGTCTGTCTGTCTGTCCGCCTGTATGTTCCTTATAGAATCAAAAACTACTAGACGGATTTTAACGAAACTTGGTACAATTATTCTTCATACTCCTGGGCAGGTTATAGTATACTTAGGAATTCCCACAGGAACAGGAATTAGCGGGAAAATAATTTTGTATGAAAAATCTAAACCGCTTAAGTTAGACGCTTGAAATTTGGCATATAGGTACCTTAATAAACTTAAAGCTTAGTTACAACAGGATATTGCAAAATTCTCACTGGAACGGGAGTTAGCGGGAAAAAACATTTGTATGAAAAAATCTAAACCGCGTAAGATAGATGAAGGGGGTAAAACGGGATCCACGCGTACGAAGTCGCGGGCGGCCGATAGTATATAATATAACTACACATAAAATAAAAGTATTAACACAGTTTCATTTATAGATGCATCCTATAAAACAGGGCTAAGAAACAAGGGACTATGATAAAGAATGTCTTCAGTTCCAAATAAAATTAAAATTAAAAACGGGAATATGTAGTGGGATGAAATGAAGTATAAATTAAAATGCCTACCCGCCCATTCCTAGGCGCTTCACTAACTAGGCTAACAGGGCCCGCCCAAGACGTCATGAATTTGTTGACGTCGCGAATAACGTGAAACTATCTATACTATCTATACTTTTATCTTAATATTATAAATGCGAAAGTAACTGTGTCTGTCTGTCTTGCTTTCACGCCTAAACCACTGAACCGATTTTGATGAAATTTGAGTCCCGGGAAAGAATATAGGATAGTTTTTTCCCCGGTTTTTGAAACAGTGACGCGCGCGATAAAGTTTTTCTGTGACAGACAAAATTCCACGCGGGTGAAGCCGAGGGCGGAAAGCTAGTTTAAAGATAAATGAAATTGACTCGTGTCAAATAAGTGAAACGCCGGGAAAACACTACCTAGCGTTAAGAGCGCCTAATGGAGATGTCAATTTCAATATTATTGTCCAATCGCAGGATTTAAAAATTCTAGAATGTAGGTTCACTAGAGTCGTTCCATAAGGGTCTAAGAATCCATTAAAAGTATCATTTAAATCGAATTACGCACAGCATAGGTCATCCATCGCAAGTGGGATAAAAGTAAAAATAATAGCCAAAGTTAATCACCAAATGATTACAGTTTATGGCCGAACGATTTCGAAATAAGACCAAGGAACATTTTTATAAGCACTTATTTAAAATGTCTTTTTGTACGCCATTTTCCTCCTAATGGTTTGAGTAGGTTGTCAAAGTACTTTACTATGTCTCGATTTTTAGTACAGTTTCAAAGATTTCTTTCTCTTTTAATTTGGAACACGTTTATAGAGCTCCATTAGCTAGTTTGCTTATTGTAAACTGATGTTGCTTAAGCAAAGTGATTCTTCATTTTCAAGAAACATACAAAGGCTCAAGGTCACCCAAATGCTATGCTCGGATTTTCCCTGCGTGATCGAATCAGAAATGAGGAGATCCGCAGGAGAACCAAAGTAACCGACATAGATCTTTTCGACATAGATAGATTTTTTCAAGTTAGGTATTTATAATTTTCAAAATAGATCGCAGAATTGCTAAAATAAATTGGCAGTGGGCGGGGCACATAGCTCGTAGAGACGATGGCCGTTGGGGCAGGAAAGTTCTCGAGTGGTGACCACGGGCTGGAAAACGTAACGTGGGCAGACCTCCTACTAGGTGGACCGACGATCTGGTAAAAGTCGCGGGAAGAGCCTGGATGCGGGCAGCGCAGGACCGTTCATTATGGAAAACCTTGGGGGAGGCCTTTGTCCAGCAGTGGACGTCATTTGGCTGAAACGACAAAGTCCGTATTATACGAAGGTTGAGAAATCGAAGAAGCAAAGGAAAAGTCCTTAATACAGAAAACTCAATTAAACCAGCAAAGATTGAAGCTTTTGATTGATCAATCACAAGACAGAAAAAGAAATCTTTTTTTACTTTTTCGAGTTACGGTAGAAATGTATTTTTTATTTTGCTTGACTTTTAGAATCTAGTGAGGTTTTTTAAAATCGATGCAATGGTTTTGAACATTTTCCTTATTTTAATATTTGTTTCAAAGTATTCCTAGAAGTCAGCAAGCAAAAAACATGAATTATTACACCTATACGTCCTGGTACCTTGTTATTGTAAACCAATATTTTACCAGTGAAATAGAAGACACTGGGACCAGATTGTCCTATCTAGAACACATAGATCAGGAATTTATTGAACCCGCTGCCGTGATACGTTCACTTTCAATATTTTGGTCGCCATGCTGTGCTCTATCTGGGAGGCTACTCCGAAACGCTATTTACGTAGTTTCGGGTCTATCTATCATCGTCGCTCATGGTAGCATCTCGCTTTGTGCGAGAGGGATGGCTACATTCGAAACTTCGGATGACGTTTTTCGGAGTAGCCCCGCTGGTACGGAATGCATGCAAATGCAGCAGAATCTAAAACATTTCTGTGCATACTAGCTTCTGCCCTCTGGTTCATAGACATACCTAGGTACCGCAACAATAAAATCTTTTGTTACTAAAAGTACATTTATAAATTTGTCAGTTAGAGGTAAGATAGACAGGTCCTCTGTGGTTGAGGATTTTGGGTGAAGCTCCCTTCCACCTTCGACCTGATCATCATTTTCCATCAGATGCAAGGCAGGAGAGAGCTTCCTAAAAACTGTTTTCGCCGTCGTCGTTTTATAAGATTATTAATTGATAATGCTTTTCAATAAAGATGCTTAAAATTTATTTAGTGCTTACTTTATAACTATAGCAAACTTACGTCAACCGGTAGTACCTTCAGAAAAATCGAGATGACCTCACAACATGGAAGGTAAGTAGGTAGTTAAACAGTACTTTTAAATTATCAATAGTATCTTAATTACATTACACAAAACAGTTTTCGATTGCAAAAAGTTAATTTATGAAGTCTGAAACTATTTCAACACGTAATAAACTAACAAAATCTTTTGAATTGACACGGAATGTGAGACCTTAATAATAAAAAGTTGACAGAATAACATGGCTTGGATCTATTAAAGTTTTTCTATTCTGGACGAAAACCTTATTTAACTAAGTAACATATTTCCTACCGGATTTTATATTCATCACGTTCTTGAATAATCCTGAATATTATGAGAATGTAAAAAAAATACATCTTTCGGACCACCATTGACTTCAGAATAAAATAATTGCGCCCTTTTTGGTAATGCAACAGTATTATTACTCATTATAACAATGTTAATTACTACTTATTAAACGCTTCTTAGTGCCTTCGGACTGTTTGACAGGTCCAGTCAGGTCCTGTATTCCAATTAGCAGTAATTTACTTTCGTAAACATTAAATAAATATTTTATCGTCAANTCTATTTTCTCATGTAAGATTAGAGTATTCAATAAAGTACAGGATTAAGTTTAACTCAGTCGAGAGATTTAATTTCTTTTTAGCGGTTAATCGTAATATTTGTTCGTTCGTTTTAGCCAAATGACGTCCACTGCTGGACAAAGGCCTTCCCCAAGGTTTTCCACAATGAGCGCAGGAGCGCTGCCCGTATCCAGGCTTTTCCCGCGACCTTTACCAGATCGTCGTAATAATTTTTTTTTCAATTTCACTAGTCATAACACCTATTAGGTACATATTATTACGTTGTAAGTGACCTTTTTAAAGTTTTTTTAAATAATTTCTATAAGATTATATCTCCTAAAGCTAAGGCAAGGTGAAAACCAATCTGTGCAGTATGCGCTTACGTCGATGGCGGAGTTAATCCGCGGTAAATGATTTCCCTTTTAGCTGTTTTACTTGTGTTATTCATGTTTTCAATTTCACTAGTCATAAACCTACCTATATTTCGTTGTAAGTGAACTCAAAAGATTTTTTATAATTTATATAAGATTATTATCTCCAATGGCAAGGTGAAAATCAATCTGTGCAGTATGCGCTTACGTCGATGGCGCAGATAAACCCGCGGTAAAAGTACTTACCGCTTTCACTTTTCGGTAAACGCATTGTAGGAGGCACTGGAACAAAAGA